GTATAACTTATCTATTATATTATTTTGCAAGAAATAACAAATATTTATTGGATGGATGTTAACCTTTTCAAATATTCAGAGGTGCAAATTAGGTTGTGTTAATTAAATATAGGAAAGCTCACAAGATCAATCTGTCTAAGGGAAGGGATGTCTTCATGGAAGACTTTCCAGTAAAACTGTCTCATATTCACGTTAGAAATGGGGAAAAACAATCATGCAGCCATCCAGTTTGCCTAGAATCAAACACAATATTCAGTGGTCTTAAACCACTCGGCCAGTGGTAGAGCTTCCCAGAGGTCATACTTTTTTTATTTACTTAAATTAGAGAGACTTAGGCACCCAGGGTTCATACACATTTCTGCACACAGAAATTAAGTACTTTTAAGGACCAATAATGAAAAGAATTAAGGACCTATGAGCAAATGAGAACTGAATAAATTCAATTAAAAATATTATCTATGCCTGAAATTCACTTTTGTAATACCATTCTAAAAATAAAATAGATCCCTAAGTACGAAGCACTTTTATTAAACATTAATTAATTAACATTATTATTAATAAGTTTGTGAATAAAAATAAACTTTATGCAATTTATCAAGTAGCATTAAATATTATAGACTTATAATAAATAGTTGGACATATTTGAAAGAAGATAAGTGACATTTACGTTTTACTATCAGTTAGCTTTATGTTGATTTTTTTATATTTCATTTTGTCACATACTTGTTCAATCTAGAGCAGTGATTCTTAACCTTTTGACTAATGTGTACAATCTAAACAAAAACTGAAACCACAACTCTTGAACAAAGCTCAGATCCCATAAATTTATGAGTGTTAGAAAAAAACTCAATCAGGATGTCGGAGTTTTAATTTTTGAATTTAATAGTTAAAAATACTTTGCTTCTTTGCGTACCACCTATTTTTCTCTTGCGCACCACCAATGGTACGTGTTGAGAACCCCTGGTCTAGAGGTTTAGTAAATAGCAGGTAGATTTTATGTCAAGCGTCATAGGTTAAAATGAGAAGTAAGATCATAATCAGAATGATTCATAACAAAAGACTGAATGTTGCCACCGCTGCTGCTTGTAGAGAGAGACCTGCTGATGAGAACAAACCTGAAAGGCCTGATGTAGGCACAGTTGGCAAGTTTTGAAAGTTAGTTGGGCTTTGTTTGATGCAGTTAGTGTCGTAGCTCCGTGCAGAGAGTTTCAGGGGTTATCACCCAGTTAATATACTTTAAGGTTTGACCAGAGGTTATACGTTGTTTTGTATTATTTTAATTCTCACTAGATACAAAGAATAAGTTTTACTTGAATTTTTTGTGTTTTATCTTGTGACTACAGTGAGGATTAATGAAAGGCAATAACTCGCTTTAATACGCAGAGATAATTTTTAAGGATAAGCAGTTCATTATAAATAATTAAATTAGGTAGTTAGATAACCTTCGTCATTATGGATTTACATTATCATTATTAAATTTTATGTCTTTTTTAACACTATTTATTTAAAAAGCCATATTAAAATCAAAAGCTAATAAAATTTCACAGTTTAAAATAATGTAAATTATGACATTTGATTCTTAAGCAATATTAGGATAATTACACATTAAAAGCTACAGAACATTTATGCCTTGTAACAACAACACTCAACAAAATATTTATGAGTCATTTTAATTTGAAGCTTTCCCAAACACTTTGGCTAATTTTTATAGATTTCCTTCTCTTTAAGCATCTTTTCTAACAATAAGAAATTTGTCTCAATACCCAAACCAATGTTCTGACTAGTTTCTGCTAACTTGTCAACCTCTCCACAATATATCTATGAGGGTTTACTTGATCTAGTAAAAGTTAAATAGGTCCAACTCCCCTCCAACAGACTTGAAGAAAATAATTGCTATGTCTGAAACATAATATCGGACAAAGCCTTAAATAAACCTCTTATTTAAATAGAACTTGGAATATAAAGGCATGCTCTGATGCTAAAAAAATCAATTACAGCTCATGGTGGCGTTATATTAAACAAAAACAGTCAAATTCAAAATAAAAATGTGGACTAGTGGTAAAAAATTATACAATTTAATTTAAGCTGGCTCAGTAACTCTATCATATGAGAAAATAGAAACGGGAAATTATAGTAAAGGCTGAAATCATAAACAATTGGGTAATTTACATGATAATTGTACATATCTTTGAAGAATAATTTTCTTCATGTATTCAGTTTCTTTCTTCAACAGCTTTCCTTTTCATTTTAGAATTTTTGGATTTAAATAAGGATTTCTGTTATTCTAAAATAAAATTTTTTAAAAAAAGTGCATTTAGAATGTATAGAAAAGAGGCTAATTTTATTTCTTTAGTAATATGAATATTCAGAAGAAATATGAAATATATATGGTAAGGGCCGGGTTACTTACAGAGATGGTGTGGCAGAATTTTTAGAATTTAGTGACACACCGAGCAACAAAATCTAGAAATGGGAAAACTTTTAGAATTTAAAGCAGACATTGGAAGCAGAATTTAGAAAGGCACTAGGCAGCGGAAAGGATGCACAGAGATTGCATCAGGAGGAAAAATGCCTAGTGCTAGCTCGGTGTATGATGCATTAAGACATATTGGATGAATCTTTTAAATTCTACGTTTTCAATTTTTTATTAATAAAAAAATTCCTTTCTACAACGCCAGCCCATGTGATAAGATTATAAGCATTTTTGATGTATTTAATACTTGTGTCTAGTGAATTCAAATATTATCGACAAAAAATTACAAATCGCCAAAATGTTGATAAGACGTCAAATTCAGAATCGTTTAATTAAAGTAAAAAGTTGTTTAAGAGCTTTTCATTAGAAAAAAATGAATTTCAAAATGCTTATGTTTCACTTCTTGCTTAGAAACTATAATACCCCACCATTTATATTAGAAATGGAAGCAAATTATAACCCATAAACCCATTCAAAAGATAACCATATATGTCAGTGAATATTCCTCCAAAATGGTAATTCACACTCAAAATGGCAGTCGTAAAAACAGACAGACATTTCTGATGATTAAAATTAAGGACCTTCTGTTGATTTTGGCAAAAATTAAGGACATTTAAGGACCAAAAATCGATTATAAAAAACTTACGGACTCTTAAGGACCGTACGAACCCTGGGCACCAGCATTATTATACATGAAATATCTTAAAGTATCTCAACAATGTTAACATTAATAAAGGAAATTCTTATAAGCATTTTCAGTTCCATTACTAGCTGCTGGTAGTAAGCACTTTTGTATCTTTAAATAATGGAACAAACAGTCTATAAGGAAAGATAAATCATTTAGAATTAAGATATAAAATAATTGCACTGGATTTATTCAAAAAAATTTTCTTTAATGTGGAAAGTCACTTGAAGGCAAAATATCATTTCCGATTAATTCTAAGAAATGAGCCCCCAAAATCCTATGGTACAATGAAGCTTTTAAAGATAGGAATATATATATATACATATAATATTTCTCCACGTGTAGGCATTTTAGTTCCTCTTCCACAGCTTGAAAGTTAACAGTAGTTTACTCATAAATACTTCTCATTTGTTATTTCCTTTCTGCATTTATAAAATAAAAACCATTCATGAATAAAACTACCTGTTACTATCAAGCTATGATGGGGAATTGCATGGGAAAATATATTATACATATTACAAATCTGAAAATTATTATAAAACCACAAGTTTATTAAATATATACTTTTTTAAATAGGGATTTGACTTACTTTGAATGAAAGAACCTGTTAATAATACAGCAATAGCCTAACATTATTAATCTTCGATTTTGCATTGTAATACACATTTTCATTAATCCTTGTTTTTATTTCAAATTATTTCACCATACAGTACCCTTGGTGATTCCTCATTTTCCCCTAAATTATTAAGAAAACTAATACATGTATGTCTACATGATGAGAAAAAGCAAATATTAATTCCCAAATTTTCAGCATTCTTCTTATACATGAAAAGAAAAGACAAATATAACTATATGTCTGCATATTTAAAATTCTTTAAAAAAATGTCATACATTTTTTAAATAAATCTGAACTTCCTTGATATGTAAGTACATAACTTCTTTTGAACATTTCTAGGCTTGATTAGACATTATTGAAACAGGCCGACTAAAAGACTTCATAACATATTTGAAAATGAAAGAAAAAATACACTTTCTTTAAAATAAAAACTTAGACAATCACAATGATAAAAACTAATTACGTTAAATGAAATTTTAAAAATAAATAACAAGTGGTACTTTTTCATTAAAGCCATATGCTTGATTTCTCTCTCTTTTTTTTTTTTTTTTTTTTGATTATTTTCTTGGCTCTAGGTATCATCAGTCTGTTTTGGCTTTTTTCTTGGTGATAATTGTTTTTATAGCCATTGCTCACAAGACTACTTTTTTCATCTGATGAGTTTATAATTTTTTTTTTTTTTTCAATGGATTCCGCAGCTTTGGATTCGCCAAAGAAGCAGCTATCCTATTTCTTCAAAAAAGAGATATTTTTCCCCCATTAAAAAATTGTGTTCAAATAACAACCTCATGAAATTTAAATGACTTAAAAATGAAATGGCTTGGCAGTTTTACAAATGTGCCTTGTTAGCTTAGGCAATCTTTTTGTTACTGCCAATTCATTTAGTTATGGCATCAGGAATTAATAACTATTGGTAAATGAAAAAAAAAAACTTGCTTCATAGTGAGTCAGAGCATAATGACAGCCGATTGGAATAATTACATAGTTATGTGAAAATTCCTTGTTATCTCGCCCTAACATTAAAATCAATGGATACTACAAACTGTGGGAAAAGTTTAGGTTGTATTGTTTTTCACATGAAATTAGAACACATTCCTTGATGCTGTTCTTGGAATGTTTTGTTCCAACTTGTATTAAACCACAGGGAAACGAAAAGAAAAAAGACAAAATGGGTGGCATAGTTTTAATGAAAAAGGACCCAATTAATTAAAATAATGTTCACTTACCCAGATCAAGAAGAATATTCATTAATTTAGTATGACTAGGCAGCAGCGCAACTTGACTTGAGCTAGTAAAATACACAAATTTTTAAAATGCTTTCATAATAGCTCAAAAAGTACAAAATTTATTATTAAAAAATGCTCATTTTTCATGTTTTATCACCAGTTAATATTAAATGACAATTAATTAAAATGTAATGTATTTTTAATCAAAAGCATGTACATTACAAAAAAAAAAATTACAACTAAAATGTTATGCACTAACTTCTTTGCGACAGCATGTTGTTGAACTAAAAACCCTATGCAGACGGGTGTGTCATACACACATCAGTCCCAAATGTTGCTAGCAGCTGGGCGATGCACTGGTGCATTGTCGCTTGCATTGATTTTCCACACAGGTGTGGCATATATGGACATTCAAACAACACGTTCTTTTAGAATTTTTTTAAATCACAAGATGCTTTCCACATCCACTACAGTTAGATTATTTGAACATATATATTGTTGACCTTGTGTCTGTGATGTACTTTCCGATTCTGGCGATTCATTTAGATGTACAAGCAGATGATACAACGTAAACAAAACCCAGCTGATGCGCAGTTGGCTTCAAGTGATATACAATGGTCTGCAAAAATTAAGGATGAGACGGTTTTTTCAATATAACTTTGTACAAAAGCTTTCCAAATCAACACATTTAATACCGTAAGATCCCCAATACGTAAGGACATGAGTAATGAAAGCAACACTTACTAAAAGAGAAATCAGAGGGATAAAAAGAAGCTTTATTGAAAAAGTAGCATGGAGCGCAATGCGACTGAAGGCCGAAACATCCCTGTGATGGGTGTCCAGCAAGAAACATCCGGTCTTTAATAGGGGATATGATCTCCCCTGACTGCTAGGCAGGTTTCACAGCGTCTGCCCATGCTGAGAATGAGGGTGTCAATGAGTTGTTGAGGCATTGCTGCCCATTCGTCTTGCAGCGCCAATCGAAGTTCCGGAATCGTTACTGGTGGTAAGGTACGAGCTGCCAAGCATCTGCCTAGAAAATCCCAAACATGCTCGATGGGATTGAGATCCGGAGATTGTGCCGGCCAATCCATACGTTCAATATCCTCACTCTCTAAGAGCTGTTTGGCAGCTGACGCTTAGCGCCTCTAAAAAGACACACATATGGAAGAAGAATCTTGTTACAATAACGAGTCCCGTTGACTGAACCTGCATCGAAGATGTGAAGGTCTGTACAACTACCAAGCATTATGCCTCCCCAAACGAGAACACCGCCACCTCCATACCTGTCCCTTTCAATGATGTTCGAGGGATGATTGCGGCTTCCTCCCCCGCTCTCCAGATGAGTATGCGATGAGAATCGCTACTCAGACTGAATCTGCTCTCATCTGTAAAGAGTACTCGTCCCCATTCATTGTCTCTCCAATTCCGGTGTTCCCGGCACCACAGAGAACGCCTTCTCCGATGGGACAGGCGTTAGAGGTACACACACCGTACAGGGCGTCGTGCAAACAGACCACCACCATGCAGTCTTCTGGCCACGGTAAAACGCGATATCGGTCGTCCAGTCGCCTGTGTCGTGTGTCTAGCGATTTCTCCCGCTGTCTGCCGTCTGTTTCTTCTGGCCTGTAAGGCAATATACCGGTCATCTGCGGGTGTGGTTCCTCGTGGACGACCACTACTAAACCCCCGGATAGCTGTTCCTGTAGTTTGAAATTGTCTCCAAAGTCGTGAAACGATGCTGTGAGCAATTCCGAACTCTGCAGCCACACTTGTCACACTGCGGCCTTCCTCCAACTTCCCAATGATTCGACCTCGGGTAAAAGCATCCAGATGTCGTCTAACAGATTGATTATTCGCCATTTCTCGCTGAGGCAGCAACTCGGTGTGATTTTAACTGCTATACGGCGTGCAATCTCTTTGCCAGAAATACTGACCTTACACCGACAACATGCTTTATATTACTCAGACACTCCCCCCATTACGTCTACCTGCATATCTGCGCATGTGCTACCGTACATCACCTTACTTAATCTCCTGATTGGTCTTTCTGTCCGCTCTGCCTCTTTGTTCAGCTGATATGCTAATTTTTCGACTTCGTCCTTAATTTTTGCACACCAGTGTAAACACTGAACAGTTTCGGATGCTTCAAATTTGTTTTTATCCTATGGAAAGACTGCAAATGGAGCTGTGGTTTTATAAACTTCAGTTTGTATTCAGTTTGCATCTTCTTTAGATAGCAGATGTAAGTTTTTGGCACTGAGTAAAAGAGTTAAACTAATAGCACAATGTCTAACAGATAGAAGCTTTAATGGAAGAAGAGTATATTCGAATTGTAAAGCCCATGAACAACTATTTTGACACCAAAAACTCTAGATTTAAGTGAGAATAGCATTTTTGATACCGAAATTTTCTCAAAAACTGAACTGGAAGTTTGTTTTGCTTTTAACTCACAATCCAGCAGAACAGTAGCTACTTCATCATGAATTCAATCTGTTAAGTAATCGAAGCCTTATGAATTTATGGCAATTGCAGAAGTAAACTTAAATTCAAAGTTATGTGAATGAAATTGATTTTTCCACCATCTTTTTCGATAATCTAATGAACATAATAGTTGAAGAATCTAATTTCCATGAACAGAAGATGAATCAAAATCCATTTTAATCCAAAATCAGCATACTCCTCCAGATGTGCCTAAAATGAGGAGATTCCTACGATTAATTATTCTATTGGGATGGAATTAAAATGTTCAACCTGAAAATGTGTTTCAGAACTAATGAAATGATAGCAACTAGATTATCACACACTGTCTCCTTTCTGAATCATTTATGCTATAATACTTGATCACATATTTTATTTTTTACGTATGTTTAGATATAGATTTAAGCAAGTTTTTTACAATATTTCATCAAGATGAGTCATATTTTATTTTGCATTTAGATTTTAATTAAATTATTTCAGAATCTCTTGATATTCTGTATTTATGATTATATTACTGCTAAATATCATTACAGAAAAAATCAAAACAATTGATAAAAAAATTAAAGAGTTTTTTTTTTTAAAGTCAGGCTTAGCAACATGAAATATCCCATCTTCTTAGATCGTACTATGGCAACAATATACAGTCTCCAAGGTCTGCAGAATCACCTTGGAGACTGACCTTCCATGCTTAGCTTTTCGCTTTACATTATACTATACGTTACACTATAGTTCTTTACATGCTAAGTGGAATGCCATCATGTAACAGGATTAACTGCTGATGCATATATGATACACTTGTCATGAAGGGGTTAATAGAAAATGAAAATGGGGCAGATTTAACAAACGTGAAGTCTAAAGATATAATATAGGCTGTTATACCACATTTGATACAAATTCTGACATTTTTTACCTGCAGAAATAAATTCCAGATATAAGAAAATAATAATAATAATAATAATAATAAACAGGATTTCAAAACATGAAAAATGAACAAAAGTTAAAGAAAATAGGTTTAAAATGTATTTCTGCAAAGAAAATATCAATTTAGTATTTTTCCAAAAATTATTTTTCTAATTCATACATTAAATCAATAAGACAATGGTTTTCAAGTATTGCACTTAAAAAAAAAGTTAAAATAGTGAGAAACATGCTATTCCAGAAATAAAGAATTTTGCAGAAATGAACTACATTTTATAAAAATTATTTTGAATATATCTAAAATTTGGTAGAAGTTATATGAATTTATAACTTCCCCCCCCGGTAAATATATATTCTGTAACCAATGCTTTAATATAAACTTCGCTGTTAATATAAACTATGCTAGACTAACTGTAGCAACCATGGTGCTCTGGTGAGTAGCCAGAGAAATACTTCAGTAAAAGCCAAGTGATGAACCTGGTATCAGACTCTTGCTCTGTAATATTCTTAAAATTAAATGTGATGCTCGTGTGTAACTTAAACCTGTTAATAAATTATTGTTACACTATACAGGACTATTTTATGACTCCCCTTACAATTCTATATTTAACTATAAATGCCGAATAGATTGTGCTCCCATCCAAGACATCAAGAATAGGCCAAGGATAAATTTATAGCGAATCACTTAATTGGAAGTCAGTATATGTTGTCACCTGCCTTAGTCACTGATGCACATGCTGTTCCTCCTTATTTTACCCATCCTTTGCTTTGTTCAACAAAAGTTTGTCAACAGGGAAAAAAACACCACTTTTTGTCTTGTTTGGCACAAGAAATGGTCTCTTTTAAATACTAAATAGAACCTTTTCAGAATTTTAATCCTGAGTTAACTGTTCCTCTTGCCTTTTCATGCGAAAAGATGGAAGGGAAGTGAAGGAGAGTGATCATAAAACACTTTTAACATTTTTTTTTTTTTTCCAATTATGGAATGATTTATTCAATTCTCATACAGTCAATTACCTTGTGGCACTAACAAAAGCCCTTTTAAGTAACTGTAACGTACATAATAATTATATAAATTAATAATTCTGCAGATAAACTTAGTAATATATTATATACTGAATAAACATTTGTTTGAAATTCCTGCAAGTTCTATAAATATCTACAGAAGATTAAGATAATTTGGATCAAATAAAATTTAATAAGAGAAGTTATGCTAAAGATCATTGGAGGTAGAGGAATGAAATATGCACAATTTAATTTTATTGCTGAAAAATACTTTCTTTAGTAAATACTAAAATTAAAAATCAGAAAATTTGGTGATCTGCTGGGAAATCCTTAGATGTATTGAAAAACTGGGAGAGTCTGCAGCTAATAATTAGTGTGATTATGAGTTAAGAATGCAAGTGTTTTGTAATGTTAAAAAGGTAGACTTTTAAGTATGGAAATTAGGATATTATTAATTTTTGTAATACTTTGATGAATAGAAATAAGCACTATAAGTAAACACAATGATAGAAGTGTGGTATTTAACTAAAAATGAGAAAAATTTGAGTTTTTGCTGAAGAATCATAACATGAAACTTGGAAATTTAAAACTTTTTAAAGTTATTTGGACCAAATGTTTGAAATTCAAAAAGGATGCTAAAAAAATTATGTCTGTTCTA